TGATCTCACTCGCCACCATGTGTATTGATATGATGCCGGCCCGTCCCCCGAATAAAACATTTTTTTGCACCGATCAACGGCCCCAAACACTTTCTCGTTGCCGTTTTGCGTTTTCCAACGAATAAAGAGTCTTCAGTGGTGTGTATTCTCGCACAGTGCACATTTTCTTATTCATTCCGCAGCAAGTGAGTTTTTGCACAAAACATCCGCAATATTGTGGTAAAGATAAGCTGAAACATATCTCTCGTAATTTGGCCTCCATTACTCTGCGAAAGCAAAATTGGTCCGGATATTGAAAATAAAGTTTTTTTTTTTCATGGATTCTTCTTTTTCAAGGAATTTTTACCCACCAACTGGTTTTGGAACTCTTTTCGGAAAAAGGATGCAAATGAATGAAATTCTGGTGGAGTAGGCTATTTTGGGTTTTCTAAAACTACTTTAGATTTTGGATATTTATTTTGGATTTTGGATTTTCCATTTTAAGCAGGCTATTTTGGATTTTCCAAATGCGATTTTCTAAAACTGGGATAGAACAGCTCTTTGGCATTCGTTTTAGGAAATCCGGGCGGATTTTCTTGTTTCCAACGCTGTCAATTGTATCCGTTGCGCAGAGAGGGGTTACGATCGGGGAAGGGGGAAGGTTTCATACAGTGGGCCTCATTCAATTGGAGGGCATATATTTATATTATACATAAAGGTCTATATAAATATGTTTCACCTGATATATATTGTCTGGAGAAATGTAGCGGTGTCTCAGTTGACATACACAAATAGATGGGGGTTTAATCAAAAAATATCATTTTTCGAGTCAAATCAAAGAATATAGAGCAGCAACATTTGAGGGTGGAAACAGCTTCAGCATGACAAAGCATTTCATTTCTTGCCGAGCAGGTGAGTTTTCAATTTTTTTTTCCTTCCATTTTGTAATTTTTATGGAATTTTTTTTCAGCTCCGCGGCAAAAACTATGAAAATGTGGAGACGGTATGTTTTTTACATTTTGTTACCTTTATTTTTTTCGTTACTCTGTTATTTTGCTAGTTTGGATGATGCCAGTTTTATTAGGAAATGCATTATCTCGCTTCTTTGTTATTTAGTTAGTTTGGATGATATTTTTATTAGGAAATGTATTATCTCGCTTCTTTTGGAGCCATTTTTAATAGTTCCTTTGAAATATGTGGATAATTCTAAGGGGAAAAAGTCTTGATTTCTCGGTAAGTGGGAACGTTCTTGGAATTTTAAAATTGATTTTTATTGGTTTTTTCGTTCCTCTTTTTAGTATTAACTATTGGATTGCACGGAGTATAAAAAGGGTTGAGCTATGAGGAAAAGCGGGAGAATCGGAGGGGAAGGGCGGTGAGATGAAGGTATTGAGTGGATCCCTTCTTCGTCGTCACTGATTGCGATATTGCCGTTGATTAACAAACAAAGAAGTGTACATAAGCTGTACAGTTTTGCAGCTGTTTGGACGTTGTCTTATCCATGTTTTGAACATCGATCTATGGAAATGCTACGTTTTTTATGTTCGCGAAACCAAAGGACATCTCTCTTCGTTCAGGTTCAATTATACATTTTGTTCATCTCAAGTGAAGGAATTTTTATAATATCTTCTCAGTGGTTTTCGGTAACTCACAAGGGTGTTCTCAACTTTAGGTTTCTTTATTTCAGAACGATTCATGAAATTTGTTAGACACGTTTGTTACATACAAATGAGAACAGA